CATATGGGACAAGCCAGACACAGCTAATTCATAGCTGCTAGTAAACATGCAGACAGCCTGTGTGATACATGTAGAGTAGCAGACACAGTGGAACATGTCATCTTACACTGTATACAGTACAGAGAAGAAATTAAGGGAAGAACTATTCAAGGTCCTTGTGGAACTGGGAAGGCAAGAGAGGAACTTGGAAGCGATCTTGGCAACAAAGGGAAATGAAGATGTAGTGAGGAGAGCTTTCTACAGATTTATGTATGAATCTGGCTTTGATAAACATTTATAATGATTTTTTTTCTCCGTGGTACAGCTGCATAAACCCACAAATGCTGGTCACACACGAGTTTCTTTTTGTAACTGATAGATGTTGATATTCACAACAAGTATGCAAAACACCAAAGAAGAAGAAGAAAAGCCCTGCGTCCCAATTCGCCTACGCGCTAAAAGTGTGTACTCTTTTTGTGAAGAAAAAGTCCATATTTTGAAGTGTGTAGCAAAAGAGTATAGTTGTGTCCCAAATACACTATACACTACTATACACTATGCACTATGTACTCTGCCGTCTAGTGTATGAATTTTAGAAGAGTAGTATCGTCTCAAATGGAGCACTAACGGGTTTTTTTTACTAACCGGAAGTATAAGCCGTTTGCCAGTCGATGGCAAATGACGTCAAACGCACGCAATGCAAACGTCCTAACACGTCATGTAACGGAAGAGAACGTCGTTGCCTAGTTACCCCAACTGTCACCGTAAACAAACTCCTCCTTGCATTTCAGCTTTTCTTCATTCATTATTCCTTATGTAAATTATAATATATAATTTAATTTACCATTACCTTGATTTATTTTTCCACATTTTATTTACATCTCTCTAAAATGCGTCCTTGAATTCGGCGAAGCAAACTGTCACAAAACTCCTCCTCCGTCGCGCAAGGAGTTGTGGGCAATATTAGCTGAAAAAGTGGTCATGGGTCCACACTTCGAAAATCTACCGGAAATAGTAGAACATCCGGGTACCTTTCGGATACTCATTTCAACATACTACGGTTTAGGACACACTCATTCTAATCTCGGATACTGTTCAGGAAGGACAGTATGTGAATTGAGACGCAGACACAGTCAGCGCTTGTTGTGCCCGGACCCATTTTCAGGTGCAAAAGTCGTCCACTTCCGCTTAACTCTTTTCGGTTTTTGATTGACGCGCTGTGCTTTTTAGTAAATATGCAGGTAAGCAGGGTAAAGTTTAATTTAATTTGAGTTTCAGGATTCTCACACTACCTTTGCAGAGCAGCATGACTGTCACTCATAAAGCCGCAATGCCTTTAATTACAGGAAGCTTTATATAACGTTGATGTATTTCTTCACGTTACTTTCCTTTTATCTGCACCGTTGCAGAGTAATTGAGATGTAAAACCGCCAAATATCGCTGAAGGGTTTTGTCCCAGACAAACATAAACATGTAAACATAACTTTATTCATGTGAATCTTTACACGGCGATAAAGATCTGTATCGATAATGTTTACATCTGTACATGTATCTATTCCGTTTAAGCCTATTGTATCTACTGTACAGTTTTTATGTGTGTGTGTATATATATATATATATATATATATATATATATATATATATATATATATATATATATATATAAAATGTGTGTGTGTGCGCGCGCGTATGAGCACACTTGGCAATAAAAGCTCAGTCTGATTCTGATTGTGATTGTTATGCAGAATTTGCTAGCTGAGTTTCTCTTTCTTAGTCTGTTGACTAGTACTGATGAAAGTGAATTGAGATTAACAAGCACACTATATCACAGACATCCTGGCTGTGCTTCACTGATAACTGAAGGTCCCTGGATCCTCCTTGAGAACCACTGCAACAAAGAATATTGAATTAAAAAAACAGAAATAAATAAACACAATTCAGGATCAAAATCACAAAAGTACACAGTTATCTGTTAATATTTTGATTTTCAGCAAAGAGAGGAGAAGCAGCTGGAAGCATCTCTTGAGTCTCTGATTTCTCGAGTCGCCCATCTGAAGAATTCTCTACAGAGTTTCATCTATAAGCTGGAAAATGAATATGACAGACTGACATGGTAAGTATGTGCTACACAATAAATATTAACTGTTTGTGTAAGACAGACTAAATGGTATTGTTGTTGTGAGGTGTACTTGTGAGAAGCAGTGTATAGAAGAAGAAGAAGCCTTTATTTGTCACATATACATTACAACACAGTGAAATTCTTTTCTTCACATATCCAAGCTTGTTAGGAAGCTCGGGTCAGAGCACAGGGTCAGACATGATACAGCACCCCTGGAGCAGAGAGGGTTAAGGAAAAACTAAACATTTCACTACATTACATCACATGTATGTAATATGTATGTGACAGATAAAGAACCTTGAACCTTTAGGGCCTTGCTCAAGGGCCCAACAGTGGCAGCTTGGCAGTGCTAGGGCTTGAACCCCTGCCCTTCTGATCAGTAACCCAGAGCCTTAACTGTTGCCACTTTAGTTGTGATCTCAGGCGAATAAAAATCCCTTCTACTGAAGAAGCTTAAATAAAAGTTGCAGTCCAGTGTTGTGTGGGGAGACAAACTGAGAGGGTCCATGTTCCTTGGAAGGTTTTGAGCTTTCTGCTATTTAAGAGCAAAATATTTCAAATCACTTTGTATCAGTGGTTGTGCACAGTGTATAATACACAAAATATATTGTGTACTATGTATTAAATGTATATTGTATGATGTCATTCTGAGTACAGCTGGCCCATATGATGATATAATACTGATATTGAAAACCCTGATACACTTTTGTAAGTATAGCTTTTATTGTCAGGTGTCAGTGTTTTTAAGATTTAATTCTTACAAATTTTTTATCAATTGTTTAATTTTCCTTCCTTTTCATCCTCAAATACTTTCATTTTTATAAATGCTGGACAAAAATCTCTGAACCTTTACTGGTCCTTTGTTGGCACTTTGTTTGCAAAACCTTACCAAAATTATATATTGTGATCTACATATATAGTGTATTGTGAAGATAGTTTTGCCATATTGTCCAGCCCTAATCCTATATGCATCTGAGGTCAGCAGCCTTCTTTCAGTAAACTACTGACCCCAGTAAAGAGATTTATTCCAAACTAATAGTAATACTAATAGTATTATATAAAAAATAATAGTAAGTAAACTTAACACACCCATCTAACGTACCGTATTTTGCAGACTGTACGATGCTTTATGTGCTCTGCTTTCCCATCTTGAAATATGGTAAAGCTACATTCTTAATAATGTCAGTGTCTAATTATAACTGCACTTTTGGTATTTGAAAAGCACACTCCTTTAATTCACAGTCTTAATATAAAAAAATAATTAATCATTAGGTGCAGGCCTGACATAGGGATTAATACTGCGTTCAGATTAACTTGGAAGTGGGAATTACGTCATTTTTTACCTCTGTGCATTCAAGCTGCAAAGTAGTGGGAAAAAGCATGGATGTCTCTATGTCTCTATGTTCCTCTATTATTTGCAAGTGTGTGATGACTGATGTATATTTTTCTCCTCAAAACAGTGAGCTATATAGTCAGTGTTTTAGACTTAACAAGCAAATACATCTGTATGTTGACTGATCTAAAGCAAATACTAGTAAATACAGTATAACTCAGTTAAAGGTAAAGAAGTGCTGCTTTGTTTGCTTTTGATGCTGTGAGCAGCTATGTTGATTTGACGTCACTTGCTGAATTCAGAGTTGCAGGGACCTTCCTGACTTTTCTGGGAATTCCAGGTTAAGGGGCCCTTTTCTGTGTTTTTTTCTAACTGGAGGTCAGAAATGATGGTTTAAAAGTTTTAGTTGACCACAGCATGAGATCAGAACTGTAGCAAACTGTAGCAACTGAGGAAACAATACAGCACTGAACTACAGGAACATTAATCTTTGAAGAACTGATTACTTTGCCATCAAGTAACAGCACAAACGACCTAAAGCCTGGTGTAGAAGACCAGTCATTGCTGATATTGATGTGTTTTATTCTTTGCAGGCCCTCAGTACTGGACAACTTTGCGCTTTTGTCTGGGCAGCTAAACACCATCAACAAGCTGTTACGTAATGAGAAAACTCCATCCTACCGGAACCAGGTCATCATTCCCCTGCTGCTGTCACCCGACAGAGACGAGGAGCTGGCAGTTAGTATCAGGGACCTTCATTCTGTTCTAATCAGAACAGGTGAAACTGCATAAAGGTGTTTTTTATTAATCTGAATTACATCCTGCAGTTTTTCTCTTTCTAATCCAGAAACTGACAGAGCAGCGCGTACCTGTGTTTAGCCACGAGATCGTACCGGACCACCTGAGGACAAAACCCGACCCAGAAGTAGAAGAGCAGGAGAAACAACTGAGTGCAGAAGCTGCCAGGATTGGACAGGAAGTAGCTCAGGTAATAACACTAACTGCAGTCAGTTAATCTAAGCATTAATATCTGAACTTTACACTACCTTTTAAAAGTTTGGATTAGCTTTTCAATTATTATTATGCACTATAAATACTATATTATATAGTATGTGGACACATGATCATTATACTAATCATCTCCAGCACTGTACATCATCTTACATGTAGCAAACATTTTTACAGTTTGAACAGCTTCCTAACCATGATGTTAAACTTATGAACTTATCGAGTGCCATCTTCATCTGCAGTAATATGGATTTTCATGTACATATATATATGTTGGTTTGAATGTTGGTTTGTGTAAACAGAAACAGATCCAGACTTTGAACAAACTCTGCTCAGGCCTTTTGGAGAAGCTCAACAACCCTCGAGACGACAGAGACGCCGAAACTTCAGGTGTGTTTTCGTGTTTTATTGTCTTTGTCACAGTGGTTTTATAAAGGTTAGAAAGTCCACTACATTTCTCTTGTATCCCAGCGTAAAAGTGTTCTCGGGCTCGGTCAGTAACTGACTACAATTACCAGCAGTTTCAATTTTAACGTGATCACTCGCTGCGGTGTAAGTAGGTCCCTGGTGGTCTAGCGGCTAAGGATCCTGCGCTCTCACTGCCCGGGTCCCGGGTTCGATTGCCGGGCAGGAAACCAACCCAGCCACTGGGAGTGTACTCTCAGTGCTGGTCCCAAGCCTGGATAAAATGGGAGGGTTGCATCAGGAAGGGCATCCGGCATAAAACTTGTGCCAAAAACAAACATGCGGACCAATGATCTGCTATGGCGACCCCTAATGGGAGCAGCCGAAAGAACAACAGCAACAACTCGCTGCGGTGTAACTATAATCACACTTCTGTATCAGAACGCAGCTCAGAGCCTAAAGAAAATGTAAAACAGTCTTGCATTCTATTGCAGAAATAATAGCTAAAAGAAACCAAGTGCATACTTCATCAGTAATTACTACTTTGTGCTTCTAAATCGCTGATACTGTGCCATTATATATTGAAGGTGACTGATCAAAAATGACAAGTATGTTGGAGTTATCAGTCATATTTGGAGTCTTCAGTCAAATTAGCTAAAGATGTTCTAGTTAAGAATTGTTCTAATTCACAGGTTAAAGATGAGCGTGGGAGCAATGCTGGTTTTCGTGTCATTTTAAATCATTTTAATGTTAAATCAGTTTTTACTGTCTATAAGCACATTATTCTTGTGCAGTATTGTATGAGACAGGGGAGCTTCCTTTTGGAGTCAAACCCTGCTTTTCAAATAATTATACAGGCAAGTCGTAAGGTGACTTTCCCTAAAGGCGCCTAGCAGATTTATCACAACTTTACAGCGAGTTAGCTGACAAACTCGCTGGGTAAATGGGCGTCTGAGCTAACTTGTTTCCAGCTACTATGTTGGGGCTTGATGGCATATACATAATCATATTGTATACATCATGTAAGACTGCAAAAACTTCTGCCAAACATTTGAAATGACTGTTAAAACCTGACAGAAAATGGAATAAATAATGTGCAGTCTTTGGGTCCAATAAAATGAATTTCTCCGGGTTGTGTCTCTCTATCTGAGTTGTATCTCTCTCTGTTTCTGTGTGCCTCAGCTATGCGCCAGAACAAACAGTGGTTTAACCCAACTGACACCAACGCCCTGGTGGCAGCAGTTGGCTTTGGGAAAGGCTTGTCCAAGTGCAGACCGCCTGCTTCAGTGGCTCCTGGACATCCGGGACAAACCATGATGCCGGGGGGGCCCACGCTGCAGCAGGTAACCATCGCTGGGACTCCTGGACATCAGACAGGCATCGGAGCATCTGTGGCACAACAGCAGCCTGGCCAACCTGGTAGGAGACTTGTGTCCCACATAAACACACACATATACACATATACACACAGTTCCTAATACTGCTCTGTTTTGATTTCTCAGGGAAAATGCCAAGCAGCATTAAGACAAATATCAAGTCGGCCTCAGGTTCAATGCATCCTTACAACCGATAACTGCGGACGCTCATGTCCTGCTTGAGCATCTGTAACAAGGAGAGCGACAAATCTGTAATATTTTGCTTGTTTGTATGTATGTAGGTTTTTTCTTTAATAAACACTGTGTGAATTGACCTTCTTCTTTCTCCTTATGTCCTATGTGAAATTGTATAAATCTGACAATGGTATAAGTTACCACTGCTGATTTGGTCGGGCATAAAAGCCAATTTTTTCCCATATATACATTTTCTATTGCTATTTTCATGACCTGGAAAGAGTTAATGGCTCTGTGAGTGTGACTTCCCATACAGTAATTCTATTTTCAAACCCTCTGTGAGCCAAAATTATTCAGTAACCAATATATAATGACAGTATTATGGCCTTTAAAATTTCTTTACTTGTAATTTATTCAATCATTCCTTCATTTTCAGTAACTGTGTAAGCCTGAGCAGTAAGATTACTAGTTTAAAACATAACATTTGATTTGGAATAGCAACTTTGTCTTTATGGAGCAAACTACTCTATTTGTAGTCCATCTAATATAACTTTGTTTACTTTACTAACTGCTTAGTAAGTGTATGTTTGTGGAGCAAGTGTTTTTATTTATTTTTTCATTTTTAGCATGTTATCATGTTTAAGGTCAGACAAAGACACAGACTGAAACATGACACACTTTTGTCCAGTATTCGAAGCCACGGATTGCTTTGTGTATGTTTATGCTTTCTACCGAGGGCAACTGAGTTCCAGTTTTAAAATCTGCACTTTGTGGTCCCTACAACTGGTGGTCAGTTGTGTGGTGTGCTACGCACCGCCGATCTGTGAGAGGAGGTCAACTAGGGCTTGTTGAAGAGACTATTGAAATATCTGGTCATGTGACCTTTTAGGAGAAAACAGACCAATAGTCAGTAAGATAAAGTAAGAAAGTGTATATTCCAGTTTATTAGGAGTATTGAGTTTTTTGGAAGATGACACATTTTCAACAAACATTGCAGATTTTAAGCATCTATATACTGAAAACATTTATATACTGAATGAACCCAATGAAAAATCCTTCACAAACTGTAGGAATTAAACAGCTGCATATATAGGTCACATACCATTATTAAAAATTAATAGTAAAATCCTTTTAGATTTATATAGTATTTTTAATAACCCTTACATAGGGACAAGTGGAAAAAGAAAAGTAAAAAATCGCTTCATGTTACTTTTTAACTAAGTTGGAAATTTTTGACATACTGTATATTGTATATTTTGTTTAATGTTTTTTCTGAATTGTATCTCCCAGGATAAGTTGCCTGTTAAGGTATAAAAATGTCAAAATTATCAATTTTTATTTATTTACTTAATGAAGAAAGCATCTTCCTCTCTCTTTTTATAACATGCCATACATATTTATCAGGTTTTTTAATTGACCTATGCAACCAAGTCCATCTAGCTCTATCAACTGAACTGCAAATAAGTATCAATGGCCCTTAAGAGTAACAATAAATGTGTAAGACTTGACTCCACACCCAGGACTGATTCTGGGCTTGTCTGGGGGAAGGATCGCAGATTTGCTTTGACACAGAAGAATTGCTTTGTGAAACGTGGATTGATTGCGCCATTCCGTATGTCACTTTTGTGCATGCAGGTTTGTGTTAATATTTTTACAGTTTTTCATTATTTTCTTTTGCCATTTGCATTTGAATGTCTTCTTTCCTTTTCTGCCGAGCTACACTCCTGAGCTGCCGGTGATCCAGACCCCCCTATGCTCTGGACCAGATGAGCATCACTCCTGAGCTGCTGGTGATCCAGACCCCCCCCCCCCCCTTCACTCTGGACCTGTCCACCGGCAATGCTTCACACTGCCACGAAGACGCTTCAGCTGTTTTCTATGGACTACACAAACGCACTTTGTACACACACACACGCGCACTACAGTGTAAACCCATATGAGGATGGGTTCTCTGTTGAGTCTGGTTCCTCTCAAGGTTTCTTCCTATCACCATCTCAGGGAGTTT